CTGGGAGCTCTGCTGCACTCAGGCACCTCTGGTCTTCCTGTGACCCTGAAGGTCCTGAGACCACACTGTCCCAGCGAGGGTTCCACCCCTGCTTAGCCACTGGAGTGACATTCCTCAGTGGACCAGACTTCTAAAAGTTCTGATTCTGTGCTCTGCTGCTCTTATCACTTGCTGGTAGCGCCTGAGGGAGGTCTTGTGGTCTATCTTCCCGAATATCGCCTCGGATTCACTTCTCCGCAGTCCTACCTTCCAGAAAGTGGTCAATTTTCTGTTCATAGAGTTGCTGCTATTCTTTTCTTCGATCTCCTGTTGAGTTCATTGGCGTTCAGAATGGTTTGATCCCTATCTAGCTGAATTCCTGGAACCAGACGAAGTTTAGGTCTCCTACTTCTCTGCCATAATGCTCCTCCCGGTATTGTTTTTTTGATAGGGATTACATTAAATCTGTAGATTGCTTTGGGTAACATCAACATTTTAACAATACTTATTCTTTAATTCATGAGCATGGACTATCTTTCTATTTATGTTGTCTTTAATTTCTTTCATCAATGTTTTATAGTTTTCAGAGTATAGGTTTTCACCTCCTCTGTTAAGTTATTCCTAGGTATTCTGTTCTTTTTGCTGCAATTGCAAATGGGATTTTTCTCTTAATTTCTCTTTCTGCTACTTCATTATTTAGTGTATAGAAACACAACAGATGTCTATATATTGATTTTGTATCCTGCAACCTTATGGAATTTGTTTATCAGTTTTAGTAGTGTTTTGGTGGTGTTTTCTATATATAATGTATCATCTGCAATAAGTGAAAATTTTACTTTTTCTTTACCAATTTGGATGCCTTTTATTTCTTTCTCTTGGTCTGATTGCTATGGTTAGGGCTTTCAGTACTACACTGAATGAAAATGGTGAGAGTGGACATCCATATCTTGTTCCTGACCTTATGGGAAAGGATCTCAGTTTTTCACCATTGAGGATGATGTTAGCTGTGGGTTTTTCTTAGATGGCCTTTATTATGTTGAGAGGTGTTCCCTGTAAACCTACTTTGTTGAGGGTCTTCATCATGAATGGGTGTTGTAATTTGTCAAATGCTTTTTTCTGCATCTGTTGAAATGGTCATATGGTTTTTACCCTTTCTCTTGTTGATGTGATATACCATGTTGATTGATTTGCGAATATTGAACCGCCATTGTATCCCAGGAATAAATCCCACTTGATCATGGTAAATGATTTTTTAATTTTTTTTTAAAGATTTTTTTTTATTTATTTATTTGAGACAGAATGAGAGAGAGAGAGCACATGAGAGGGGGGAGGGTCAGAGACAGAAGCAGGCTCCTTGCTGAGCAGGGAGCCCGATGTGGGACTCGATCCCGGGACTCCAGGATCATGACCTGAGCCGAAGGCAGTCGCTTAACCAACTGAGCCACCCAGGCGCCCGGTAAATGATTTTTTTAATGGATTTAGTTTGCTAATATTTTGTTGAAGATTTTAGCATCCATGTTTATCAGAGGTATTGGCCTGTAGCTCTCTTTTTTTGTAGTGTCTTTATCTGGTTTTGGTATCAAGGTAATGCTGGCCTCATAGAACAAATTTAGAAACTTCCCTTCCTCTTCTATTTTTTGGAACAGTTTGAGAAGAATAGGTATTAACTCTTCTTTAAATATTTGGTAGAATACACGTGTGAAGCCAACTGGTTTTGGACTTCTGTTTGTTGGGAGTTTTTTTAAATTACTGATTCAATTTCATTACTGGTAATCAGTCTGTTCAAATTTTCTATTTCTTCAATGAATCGTGGAACACTACATCAAAAACTAGTGATGTAATGTACAGTGATTAACATAACATAATAAAATAAAATCAAAAAATTTTTTTATTTCTTCCTGATTCCATCTGGGAGGTTATATATTTCTAGGAATTTATTCATTTCTTCCAAGTTGTCCAATTTGTTGACATATAGTTTTTCATCATATTTTCTTATAATCCTTTTTATTTTTATGGTATGAGTTGTTATTTCTCTTCTGTTTCTGGTTTTGTTTGAGTCCTCTCTCTTTCTCTCTTCCTCTCTTTTTGATGAGTCTGGCTAAAGGTTTATCAATTTTGTAGATCTTTTCAAGAAGCAACTCCTTATTTCATTGATCTGTGCTATCGTTGTTTTAGTTTCTATTTCATTTATTTCTTCTCTGATCTTTATTCTTTCTGCTGGTTTGGAGTTTTATTTATTTTTCTTTTTCTAGCTCCTTCTGGTGTTAAGTTAGGTTATTCATTTGAGATTTTCTCTTGCTTTTTGCGGAAGGCCTGTGTTGCTATAAACTTCCCTCTTAGGATAGCTTTTGCTGTGTCCTAAGGATTTTGGACCATCATGTTTTCATTTTCATTTGTCTCTGTGTATTTTTTTTATCTCCTCTTTGATTTCTTGGTTGACTCATTTATCATTTAGTAGCATGTTATTTTACCTCCATGTATTTGTGCTCTTTCCACATTTTTTTCTTACAGTTGATTTCTAGTTTCATAACTTGCTCCTTAATTCTTTTATGGGTCCCCCACAATTTATATGCATCCTATTTCCTTTTTATATTTCAGTGGGCTCAAAATATGAAATTCCTTCAGTATTCAAAATTGCTATTTTGGGTTGCTCTTTGAAATAATACTTCATTCACCTCACTTGTATTAGTCTGGCGGCACAAGGGCAAATGATGATCATTCAACAAATAACAGTTGGATTCAGCTTAACTGGACACCAAGCTTAGAACCTAGTAAAGCTCTTGGCCCTTAATAAGTATATGATATCTATTGTTAAATTAATCAGTTGAATGATATTGCATTTAATATCCTGGAACAGTGTTGCCTTCATCTGCTCATGTATGTTTCCAAAAGCCCTCTCGTCTCTTATTTCTGACCTTAAATAATACAATTATTGTTGCTTATCCTTTTTAATTCCCTTACCTCTTTGACCCTGACAATACAGAATTCGCTCTTTTATTCTTTGATTTTTTTAAATGGCTTCTTCTCTAATGATTTACCTTTTCTAAAACATCTATATTCTGCACAAGTGAATTTTTTGTTATACTATATAACTATACCACTGGGATCTATACAAATGGAATGCCTCCTTTCACAATATAGTGTACAGCTATATTTATTTATTCCCTTGAGAATTTCCTTCCTATATTGTAATACATCCCACCTCTCACTGACATCTTAGAAGGAAACAACAGCTTTCCCTCACTCATATTCACTTCTCTTGTATTGTTATTTTCTTCCTTTCCAAACAGAAATCATCTACTGTTGCCAAACATATTAATTATTTAGATTTTATTTCAGCTTTTTCCTTTACATATTATGACATCCTTCATGTCCTTTCCAGGAAATTATTTTTCTCATTTTTAGAAGAAATAAGATCATTGCAGAGAATATAAAAATAAAGAAAAATATATAGATGCAAATTAAAATCACCTCTGAATAGCAGATTGCCTGCCATCCAGAGATTTTCTGCTTTTTCCTATGTATACATGTATATATTTTTCTAAACAAAATTAAGATCATACTATAATATACTACTTTATTATTTTTTTCAAATTTAACATTATATCAACACTTTCATGTCATTACTCTTCAAAATACAATTTTTATCAATGTGAAATATGCATTTAATACCTTTTTTGGGACTTGGAGACATTTTATTTGTGTGTATTTTTTCATTGTTATAAATTATAGTATGATTAACATTTTGTGCATAAAATATTGTATCTTTCTCTGATTATTTTCTTAAGCTCTTAAGAGTGAAACTAAGTAAAATTTTTATAAATGTCCTTACAGCTTTTGATATATATTGCCATATTATCCCCCTAAGGACTATAATTTCTATCTTTTCCTATTCATAATTGTGGTTCCCTTCTTTTGGGGGTTAAAAGTAGATAAGCATCATTTCAGAATTATTGTTAAGAGCCAATATGATGAGTCAACATATTTCTATTCATTTGTTTTTGAAATCCCCTCATTTCACCCAGTTTGTTAATTATTCCTTAATTTGTCCCCTTGCTAATTTATTTCTTCATCTCACTCATCCAACAATGATCACTCATCAATCCAATGTTACAATGTCACTGCATACTCAAATCAACATTAGGCGCCAGGTGTACTTGAAGGGTCTAAGCCATGTGCTTGCACTTGGTGGCTACACTTAGTGGATGATCAGAGGTGTATACCATGAGAATACATTCCTGTTCATATTTTTGGAGAAACGTACATTTCAAAAATGTTTCTGTAATCATATTAGTGATCACTTTATTCACAGATCTTAACATTTCTCAAACATACACATTATGTAGCAAAAACCTTACCTTAATCTAGATTCCTTTCATTTTTTACCAATATGATAAGCCTAAAACTCATCCCTTTAATGAGTAATGAATTCCACATTTAGTGTTCTCCTTTGTTACTATAGTATGAACTCATTATATATGAACTGTGTGTGTGTGTGTGTGTTGCAAACATGACAATTGAACAGTGGACATTTCTAAGAAAGAGCAATAAAATTATGAATTGTGTTCATTTTTGTTCATTTTTCTTATTTTTTAATGCTTTATTTTTTTAAAAGATTTATTTATTTTAGAGAGAGAGTGTGAGCGGGAGGAGGGACAGAGGGAGAGAGAGAGAGAATCTTAAGCAGACTCCCCACTGAGTGTGGAGTCCAACTCAGGGCTTGATCTTATGACCCTGAGATCATGACCTGAGCCAAAATCAAGAGTTGGACGCTTAACTGACTGAGTCACCCAGGTGCCCCTGTTTTTCAGTGATTTCTAAACTCTCTGCCATAAGCATATATATGATCTATAATCAGGAAAAAACACATTTGCAAACTGAAGTTTGTTTACTCAACTGTAGCTTTTATGATATATGGAGTGCTTACTAACCTCCTATATGCCTGAATACATATGTGTTGGATCAATTTGTTACGCTGGCTTGATGTCTAATTTTTTTTCATTTAAATCATGTATTTTCAGTGTCCTCTATGGAAATAAAATCACAGAACTCCCAAAAAGTTTATTTGAAGGACTCTTTTCCTTACAGTTACTGTAAGTATTTGATGGTTTCTGATCTGTTGAACCAAGCGTTATATTTTGGTCAGTGTACACGCTCATGGTTTCGTGGAGACTTCAGAAAAGCTCAACCCCAAATGACATAGTTTAATGAAATGGAAAAGATTAGTATAGTGCAACTAACACTGATGGGTGTTATTTATTTGAAGACACGACACTTTGAAGTTGTCTCAAAACCTTTCTGTCCACCCTGTCACAAATGTAGGCTTCTTGGCTACTCTGTCATTAAAAGCTTGTGCGGTCTCTGCCCTTTGTGAAACTCTGTTTTGATTTAACAATAGTTGGGAAGGAGAGTGACATAGTGAGAGGTTTATCCACCTTTGTCCAAAGCATCTGCAGGAGGGACAATGCTGGAATACTGTGCCCCCCAACCCAGAGGTCCCAGAACACAGCAGGAACATTCCAACTGGTGTTTACTCAGAAAATTATCTGTAAATCCCTGGCCTGCATCTTCTAAAAACCATTCTGCTTAGAGAGTAGCTACCTCTTCTTTGTCTCAAAAGAAGAATGTACCATACATATATGTATAAGAACAAAACTTGACCACAGGTGTTTTAGTGAATGCTCATATGAAAAGGAAATTGGAAAAAATACGCTAGTCTTAAGATGGTTAGTGTTAGATCATCAAATTCTCTTCAAATCACCAAACATACATAGAATTCCTCCTTTGGGGCTGCTGTGGGTACAAAGATGAATATGATGTACTGTCCTCTCTCAACTAGTTCATAGTCAGTCTACCTTAAAATTCTCAAGTTTAAAATATCATTTTCTCTTTTGGTATACATTTGTTGGTGTTGGGATTTGTATCATTGATTTGGCAAAAATTTACTCCTAATCCCACAGATTTCCCAAATGTAGATCTTTTTCCTTACTTGATCAATGTAAGTTATAATCATACCCTAATAGTCATGTTTTAAATTTTCATCATTATCCAGAAACATATTTTATATCACAACCCAGTTTTCCTACACAACACACAGATGCACACAAATGAAGCAAATTGTTAACAAAACAATATTTACCTTTACTATGTATAGTACTCTCCATTTTACTGCATTCTCTGTCTCTCGCTCTGGTCTCTCTTTTTCTGTCTCTTTAGTACTATGCAACCTAATAAACTGATTTTACAACAGACCAGTAAGTCATGAAAAATACTGATCCTTATGACCTAATGTCTTTATTTGGGTTTCAAATTATTTTTTAACCTTTGAGGTGGGCTCTGCAAATATTGCTTCTGATCTTTAATAGAATGACTCTATATACATTATACACATTATAGGTATATCTGGATGCTATAGCCAGGTATTGCCTGTGTGTTATTTGCTTCTCTGTCATTCTTCTACCTTTTCCTAGCACTATTATGTTTGCCATTTACTTGCAATCTCTTGCTATCGTTTGTCTGTCTAGTACTAACACTTAAATAGTACCTTCTTTTTCCTTCCACACATACTTATTGGTGGTTGATGTAACAACCAGGTTAATAAACCATGGGATCTGTATACAGATAAATCTTACTTAAAAAGCTATCTTTGTCCCTCGGCCTGATATGTTATCTCTAGATGAAGGCCAGTTCCTAAGCCTGCCAGGGCTAAAGCAACACAATTGTCTCTTTCTGGCTAGCTGAGAACTTGGTTAAGCATCTTAGATTTGCTTGAACAGATGAGGTACTAGGGAAAAGAAGTAGGTAAATGGAAAGAGCAAAAGGAAGTAGTGTGTGCAATACTTTCTTTCTCCTACTTTGCTGACCACATAATTTAAAGTAAGTACACAATGCTCAAAACGGCACTTTCTTCAATTGTCTTCAATGCTCCCCACTCTTTCCTTCTCCTTATTTCTGCTCTCTGACTCCTTCAGTTAGCTGACAGATTGGGGAACACAGTCAGTGTGACCTGTGTTGTGGTGCAGTGGAGAAATGGGATTACCAGTCCATACCTGAAACCAGTTCCTAAGCTTTTAAGAAACCATTATGAGGACCACAGAGAAGACTAAAGTGTCAGGTCCTAAAGGGAGGTTAAAAAAAAAAAAAAAAAGAGCGAAGAGAATTATCCCGAGGAAGTCACAGCTTTGCATGTGTGTGGATGCCTAAAAAAGCAAGTAAAGCAGAAGAAATACCCTATGTTAATTAAAAATAGAGATTCTTGGTGGACAAAAGGGAAAACATTTTTCAGTGTGTTAAATAAGAAGGCATACAAATCCAAATGACAGAGCACATATTTTTTGAGCTACTAAATATTTGTTCAAGTCTTAAGTATCAAAGCAGTAAAATAAATGCTAATAGAGATAAAAGTATCAAAAAAAATTCTCTGCCCAAGGAGGTCACTAATCCACCTTTGGGCAAACACGTAGGCCTACAGAAAGGAGGTGCCAAGACTAAGTAGCACTGAATAAGTTCCTTAGGGACCTAGAGGAAGAAATACTTTACTTGGGTAGAAGCTTCTGAAAAAGGTGAGCTTCCCACGCAGCCATGATAGGCCAGAGCGTTGAGGAAGGTGGAGGGCAAGGCAAGTGTATTCCCAAAGGGAGTCCAACATGCATAAAAACCCAGACACGATCCCATACAACCTACAAGAATGGCGTTTGCCAAAGTATAATTTGTAAACCACAGTTCCATAGAATATTGAAGTCAAATATTGATAGCATGTTGGAAAAAAAAATGAGTTTGTGGCATATTGTGTTAAACCAAGTTAAATGGGTATTTATACTGCAGGACCAGGACCTTTAATAGGGTTATGACTCATGTCACTCTCCAAGAGGATCATAAAGTGTTCATTCAACAACATATTTATGGAGCACCTTGTATGTGCTTGGCACAAACAAAAATGCCTATCTGGGGAGAACATACAAATGGCAGCAATAATGTAATAAGTAAATCATATGTAACAGAGAGAAATACGTATTTAAGAAAATAGAAAAAAATAAACAGATCGTAGTAAAGGAACTGTGTGTGCTAGAGGTTGAGGTGGGGCAAACACAGGTGATGGTATTGAAGAGAGGAGTCAGGGTAGGCTGAATTGAGACAGTAAGATTGCAACAGACTCAAAGAAGCGAATAGTCAGACCTCAAGGGAAAGAACATTCCAAGCAGAGACCCCCACAAAGAGACCTGTGTGGCTGGAGCTGAAGCAGCCAGGGGAGAGGTATAGAGAGGTAATATAATTAGGTATTATATTAGAGGTATTAGAGGTATTAGGAGTTCAGAAGGGGGTGCTAATGGTCCTACTGGGCATTGAAGCAATTTGTCAGGACCTTGGCTTCCCTCAGAACAATTTGGCAGTTGCTGCCTGGCTTTGAGGGAAAGTGGCCTGTGTTTTAAAAGGCCACTCTGGCTTCTGTTTTGAAAATAGACTGAATTTCTTCACAGAGCAGCTAGAGAGACTAATGTTCTATGCAACTTTTTATGGCGTCCTTGACAGGAGACGTTCGGTCTCACCCACCTTTGTCTACTGCCCTACCTCTTCATCTTCCAGAGACTATGTTGAATAATTTTTATTGAATAAATGTGTAAGTACCACTAGATTTAGGCATTCATTAAACCGCGTGACCCTTGCTTTATCTGGAATATCTTCCACCTGTGGTACCTAAATTATTCCAGTTAAAATGCTAGTGTTAAGGTTCAGAGAAATGTTATTTCTTGATTTCTTGTATTTCTCAAGAAGGACAGAATCTTGAAGGTGGGTTAACGAGATGCTACACTTTAATTCTGCAACTATTTGATCAAACAGATTATTGAATGCCAACAAGATAAACTGCCTTCGGGTAGATGCTTTTCAGGATCTGCACAACTTGAACCTTCTCTCCTTGTATGACAACAAGCTTCAGACCATTGCCAAGGGGACTTTTTCACCTCTCCGGGCCATTCAAACCATGTATGTATATATGGCTTGGATCAAATATGATGACTGCTGTCCTCACTGTGAATTTGAGAGTTGAGTTCATTGCAAGTCATGTATAAAAGTGTTCTGTCTGTGTTTCTGAAAGGCATTTGGCCCAGAACCCCTTTATTTGTGACTGCCATCTCAAGTGGCTGGCGGATTATCTCCATACCAACCCCATCGAGACCAGTGGCGCCCGCTGCACCAGCCCCCGGCGTCTGGCAAACAAAAGAATTGGACAAATCAAAAGCAAGAAATTCCGTTGTTCAGGTAATTTCTTACTTCATGTGATATTTCCCCTGTGTTACCAAAAACAGTGATTACGGAGACCTAGAGACTGCTGGTCTCCAGATGAATTACCAAACATTGTAGAATATACTTTTTTCTTCTGTCTGTAAAGAACAAAATAAAGGGAGCTATAGACACAATTCATATAGCACTCCTATAGCTAATATTTTAACACTATATCCAGCATAACAAATAGGTTACCAGCCAAGAAAAAAATGATGCTTGGATACTTCATACTGTATTTTTAGGGTTCAAACTAAAGAGGGGCCTTTTAGCAAGCTCAGAATCCTTTTTATGTCTGTTAAGTCTCATGCCTGTTGTATTACTCTCCACTGAGAAACTTAAGGTAATCAATCATGTTCTCATTTCTTCAGAAAGTGAACTGAGACTTGGTTATGTGATTTGCTCAGGCTCGGAAGTAGGGGGGGAAAATTTCCTGATCCCTTGCTTCGCACACTAAATGTGTTTACTTATTTTTCACCCTCTTATTTTAAATAGGACTGTGAGGATATTTTTTTTTTTTTTTTGCCAAAAGGCCATCTTTTAGCATTTTGGGAATATTATATTTATTTATAAAAAGCCAAATCTTGATCCATTATGTTACTATTATATAAAAGGCTTACTTCATTGAAATGTTCTGTTCACTTTGGTCTCATCTTTTCTGTGTTCTTATGATAAAATACATTCTGTATGTTTTGAGTAGTATGCTATCTAACTATTCCAGGGGTATTTCACATTCGGCAGTTAATTCATACTAAAAGGCTAATATCAAAACAAAGTTGTTTATTGTCCATGGTTCTAGAGACATTTACTACTCACTGTACATTATTATACTTCAGCCACTGCTGTGAATATAATTCACTTAATTATCTATAGTACCTATGGTCCATTCTTAATCTAATATAACTCATATCTCTGCTTGCTGACATTCAGGTGCATCTTCTATTTTTTTTTTCTCTTTTTTTATTTAGCTAAAGAACAGTATTTCATTCCAGGTAGGTTTTGCTCGGTACTAGGACTAACTGCAGACACCCTTTCCTCACCTTATAAAATATAGCTTCTGAAACTTTGATATGCATGCGTTTGAAAGTACAGTGGGTACTCTGTAGATAGATTGACTTCTGCATAGATCACTTGTAGCTGTTTCCTGAAAACCTGACCTTTGCATGCAGCTTCTGATGTTAGACATATATATTATTAAACCCCCATCTTTTTTTTCCTCTCTCACTTTGGCACATTATCTAAAATTTCTCACAGTAGCTAAAATGTTTGAACCTATAGCCTTCTACTTAAATCATTTTCTCTCCTTATGTTGTATATCTGATCTTTCAACCTGTTTTTAAAATATAGCTTATTGAGCTGGTTTTAAAGACAGAGACCTTTCTGTTGTCAAAGAACTAGTTCTGCATGAAATCAGTTACAAACACACGGAATTCTCTTGTCGACCATGAAATTTACTTTTTTTAATATAATTCTTTATACTAAGAAAGTGTCCCTTACTTTTTGCTTTATTTTGCTTTACTGTTGCTTCACTTTTTATACAAAAACAGCAACTTACTGCTTGTTGACATGCAGTTATACATTATTTGTAACATTGTTGCAGACTTGGGGTGATGGTATAACTCCACAGAAACAATACTGACCTACATCCTGAAAGCCTCAGATGTTCCTGGGCACTAAATGCCTTGAATAATTTAGGCAGATGAATGAAAAGTTTTTTAGAAAAGTAATTGAAATGTTTTACCACTACAATCTTAACACTCTCAAGTCTGATGATTCTGGAACTAGCTCTTTGAAACATGTTTACTTATTTTTTTCCTTGCCTGCCAATTGTGTAAAATGCCTCTTGTTTGTTTTAAACCATTATATAAAAATATGTGTTAGTAATTGATTGGCTACATTTACCATCTCCTGGGGATATTCTAGACTATCATATATTTTAACAGCTACCAATAAGAAGATACTTATATGGTGTTAGTATGCAAAAACCTTACTGATTTTTTAAAGAAGAGTTCTGGGTTTGGTCTCTATTTTAAGGAGATATGTGTTATTTGCCATTATTGAATTATAATTTGAATAATTTTATGCATATAACAGATTTTGTTTTATTACTTATTTTGAGCTTGAGTGATCAATAATATTTGTATGTTACATGGGCTGCATAAGAAAACATGTTGAATAGAACAGTTGATTGGCCTTCAGAGGCAATCTTTAAAATTCATTATTTTTACCTCATTGTTAAGCAGAAAGTCATCTGATAACTATTACTTACCCAGAAAAAAGCCATATTCTAAATACCAGAACACCTATAGGATAAAACATTAATATTACTAAAATCTTCAAATTATGGCAGTTGATAGAATTGTTACCAAATTATTCAATAAATTACATTTAAATATAATGCATTAATAATTTAGAAATTAATATTTCTGATTAACAAATTAAAGATCCAACATCAGATTGTTTTCATAAATTCTGATAGAGTTTTGCCTATTTATTGACAGCAGTCAAAATAGGTTTTTTTGGAAACACACTGTATATGTGATATCATGCCTTAATTGTCAGTAATTTCTGATCATTCAATTTACATTAAAGCAATAACAATAGAAGTCAGGACTCAGAAGGATTCTTTGGTCCTTCTCTCCTTTTCTTCCTAGATTATATTAAAATTTTAGCTTACCTATAGAGTCTTCATAAAAGAAACATCATTGTCATTACAATGAATGCAGACTATTTTAAATATAAGATACCTGATGTACCTGTCATTTAGCCCTTTGTTCCCAGTATTTCTTCATTTCACTTTTCAAACGAAAGCTTAAACTACAGGACAACAGTTCCTCAGTAAATGCCCTGGCATTAACTATCAAGTCTAATGAAATTATTATATTCAGTTTTGTGATTGTATGAGGTTCTGATTTCATTTCCACTAAGTGACACTATTTGTAAGTTGGAAAGGCCATTAAAAACATGTAAGCCGCAACAGTAAGGCTTAATCCAGATGTATTTGTTTTTGAAGATCTCCATGATTAGTTTTTCACGTACGTTTGCATGTTTACTTGCCTACCACCATTCTATATGGCATTCTAGATACTATAGTGATAACTCGACAGAAAATCTATCTTGCAGAGAGCTCATCATTAGAGGAATCGGCAAGAACTTAATTTGTGCTGTGCATCTCATATGCCATTGCTTTTCCTGTAAGAGCACTATGCTTCAAAAAGTACTACAAACATTTGCAAAGCATGACAATGGCTGTCATACTCTGCCATCCCCCCCGTAATTGCCATAGTAAGGAAAGAAGGAAGAGACCTTCACTAGTTTTGTATATGTGCTGATTAACCTTAATTGGGATTACTCTTTCTTTCCTTCTTGGTGATCTTTACTTTTGCAGGAATTCACCATTTTGGCTGTAAGTAAAAGTGTCTGATCTGAAACATAATGCCCTCCCTTTTCAATCCTGATGTACTTCTTCTAGTCTCGGTCTTTTGCACCTTTTTTTTTCCCCCCCAAGAAGCAACCACAGATCTTTTGAGCTTCTCTGTTGTCCTTGTAGCTCACCTTCAACTTCTTCCTGGATGTTGTTCCCGAAAGCTGTTGTTTCCATTCTGCCGTTCTGAGGAACAGTGGAGGCACCTTTCAGTGTAGCCCCTTCTTTGTGTTTCCAGGAAATCTTCGGTAGTAATACTCTTACTATGGTCATAAACATTCTGCGGGAAGAATGCATGTCATGTAAACAGTATTACGTTTCCAGAGCGTCTGTAGCTTTTTCTCCTGCTTCCCTTCATCTTTCCTCTCGGTCTTACCCTTGGCCTAGTGGATGGTGTAGTGATTATGTAGCGAGATTTTCTGTTGTGCTTGATCTAACCATGTGGTTGCCAGGTATGAGTAAAACATGGTTCCGTCAAGCACCATGGAACGTCACGCAGCTTTCTACAGCATGACAAGCTGCTGAGGCTTAAATCAGGATTTACTTGTCTCCTTTTATAAAATCAAAATGAAAAAAGAGGGCTTTTTTAGGCATTTCCGAAGATTATGTGAGAGGGAGAGAATAATATAAGACCATAGAAAATTTAAAAACCTGAGTACATCTATTTGCCTTGAAAGCCCTAATTTAAAATGATATATAGGAATATGTTTCTTACTGGATACATTTTAAATTCTGGACTCAGAGAAAAAAATAAACTTTGTAACAATTAATAGCCATTGTATGATTAGCTGTCAACTAGGCTAGAATGGCTCATAACTGGATCAGCAGAAAGTACAGCTGTGAAAAGCTCATCTCTATTAATGTTTTCCTGTCCTGTGAATCTGGTTACTCTTTTTTCCAGCAAATTCCAAGCCCTTGTTTTAACCCTCTCCTGACATCCATTGACCAAAAATTCCCCAAGTTGTCTCCCTGCTGCATAATCTATAGTTATCTTACTATTTTTCTTCCTACAAATTAATGACTATTCTAACCTTTAGACTCAGTATCTTTTTTTTTTTTTTTTTTTTTTTGCCTTGAATCCTCAATAGGTACAGAAGATTATCGATCAAAATTAAGTGGGGACTGCTTTGCCGATTTGGCTTGCCCTGAAAAGTGCCGCTGTGAAGGAACCACAGTAGATTGCTCCAATCAAAAACTCACCAAAATCCCAGACCACATTCCCCAGTACACTGCAGAGCTGTGAGTTCATCTCCCAATAAAATCCGGGTTGGGAGGGAGGGAATGAAAGCATCATAGCTTTGCAATTTTTGTCTTTCCCTTTTATTTTTAAGAATTACATTGATTTTAATTAACACACATGGCCATAACTCTTCTTTGTATAAGGATATATTAGAAGCTATCTTACTTCATCTTTCTGGTCCAAGACATGACTACAGAAATTAATTTATGTCTCAAAAATTCAGTTAGTTCTTAATAATGCTAATAATAAGAGCATTCCTTTGATACTTATTTCTTGGGTATTATTTATGCCCGCACCCATTTCTAAACATGTAATAGATTTCTAAGGTATATAGTCTTTTGCAGCAACCACATAAAATAGTTGGTGAATCACCATTTTGAATCTCTGTTAATTATGAATTCAGTCAGAGAGCCTTAATTGGCTTTATTACCTCACTGAGTCGAAGGTGGTAGGATTCTGTGATTATCAGGTATTTAAAGCACAAGGATACTTTTTCCCTGAACAATGGATAGCATTGCAGGAAAAACTGAAAGGACAACGAGATCAGATTGATATTTATAACCCTACCTCGAGCCTAGCACATACTAGGTGCTAAAATGTTTGTTGAATCATCTATAGACTCTGCCAAGTATGGTTTGCCTTTAGTGATTTTATTTATAAAAGTCATACTAGTTTTCTAAAAATTCAAGAAAAACGGTGAAATCTCATTGTTTTCTGAACATCTTAGCAACGTTTATGTATAGCACCATTTGGTATTTGCTATTAACTGCTTTGCAAAGTTGGTTGTCCTTTTATGCTTGTATAATCCTTTTGTCTTCAACTAGCTTGTAATTCCTTGATGATGGGGATTGTGTTTTATAGTTTATCTCCCACTGTGCCTATACTCATGCCTGTTATTTAATGAATCCTAAGCAATTTGAATAATTAAAAATAATGTAATGCTTTCAGAGAGATGACAGAAACTACCCTGTGGCTATAGTGGTACTTTTTAAAAATTATTATTATTATTCCTGTTAGTTTTTGAATCTATTTAAAAGCTCCAGGGTTTTTGTTTTTGTTTTTTGAGGAATTTTTTTTTATTATGTTATGTTAGTCACCATATATTACATCATTGGTTTTTGATGTAGTGTTCCATGATTCATTGTTTGCATATAACACCCAGTGCTCCATGCAGAACATGCCCTCTTTAATACCCATCACCAGGCTAACCCATCCTCCCACACCCCTCCCCTCTAGAACCCTCAGTTTGTTTTTCAGAGTCCATAGTCTCTCATGGTTCATCTCCCTGTCTGATTTCCCCCCCTTCATTCTTCCCCTCCTGCTATCTTCTTTTTTTTTTTTAACATATAATGTATTATTTGTTTCAGAGGTACAGGTCTGTGATTCAACAGTCTTACACAATTCACAGTGCTCACCATAGCACATACCCTCCCCAATGTCTATCACCCAGCCACCCCATCCCTCCCACCCCCCACCACTCCAGCAACCCTCAGTTTGTTTCCTGAGATTAAGAACCAGGGTTTTTTGAAATGTGTGGAGACCATGCATGCAGTAAAAGGCCTGAACTTTATTGCTGTGGTATTGCAGGGAGTTTTGTATATTTCCAATATTATTACAAACAATAATGCAATTTGTATCTTTTAGCATGATAACAGCTTAAATAGGCTTACTTGTCAATTAAGAATTACAGCACTAACATCTAATTTATTATTCAGGAAAATGTGTGTGTGTTTTAAGAAATTAAGTATTTTGTAAATTATGCATTTAAAAGTTAGTACTGGGAGGGAAATATTTGTAAATCATATATCTGGTAGGGGACTTATATCCAGAATATATAAAGAGTTATTACAACTTAACAATAAAAATGTACATTACCCAATCAAAAAGTGCTCAAATTACTTGTATGCACATTTCTCCAAAGAAGATATACAAATGACCAATAAGCAAATGCTTATTATCATCAAGCTAAAAAATGCTTAGTATCATTAAGCATTAGGGAACCCTAAATCAAAACCACAATGAGAGCCACAAAAACAAACAAACAAACAAACAAACAAAAAATCGGACCCCTCAGACATTGCCAGGGGAATATAAAAATGACAAATCTTTGGAAAACAGCTTGGCTATTCCTCAAATTATTAAATATAGTTTTACCATGTAACCCAGCAATTTTACACGAGTGCAACTATTCAAAGGAATTGAAAACATACATCCTCACAAAAACTTCTACTTGGTAGCAGCATATTATTCATGAAAATCAAAAAGTGGAAGCAAGCCAAGTATGTATCAGCTGATAGATGAATGAACAAAATTGGAATACCCATACTGTGGAATATTACTCAGCCATGAAAAGGAATGAGGTACTGATGTCTGCTAAACATGGGTGAGTCCTGTAAACATTATGCAAAGTGAAAAAAGCCACATTTTTTTTATGACTTCACCTATATGAAATGTCCAGAATAGAAAATTCCATAGAGACAGAAAGAAGATTAGTGGTTGCCAAGGACTGAGGCAGGGAGGGAAACAAATTGAAAGTGATTTCTGATGGGTATGAGATTTTTCTTTTGGGTGATGAATATGTTCTAAAGTTAGGTAGCAAGGACAGTTGCACAATTTTGTGCATACACTAAAAAACACAAGACTGTACACTGTGAAAGGGTGAATTTTATGGCATGTAAATTGCATATCATAAAAGCTATTAGTAAAAAATATAGAGAGCAAGTGATTCGGAAAAAATGGCCTAAAATGCTTTCTGGGGTAAAAATACCTTTGGAGGAGGGGTAATAGTGGAAAAAAGGTTTGAAAAACTTTGTTCTACAGATTACTGAATGAGAGCTGGTTTTGATTTTTGATTATTGGTTTTCTTTACTGTGTACTTCTTAATATTTTATTTTGAGCATTAAAATTCGAGTGAAATGGTGAAAAAATTAGTGCTTCCACAGATTTTCTGTGACATGTATTCTGTTTTACTTTAGAATAATCACAAAATGATCTTACATTTCTGTATGAGAAATAAAAATCCCTTCCTGGCTGTTGGTGATGAAACTTTTGTTTCTTTTTTCTCTGAGGCGTCTCAATAATAATGAATTCACAGTGTTGGAAGCTACAGGAATCTTCAAGAAACTTCCGCAGTTACGTAAAATGTAAGCTGTGCATTAGCCACCTTTTAAAATTTCTGTGGTGTTCTGTTGTGTTTTTCAAATCCCTGTGCCGTTTTATTCAGATTTCTTTGGAAGTTGGAAACTATAAAAGATGTGGAGAAATTTCCGTACAATGACTACCTGTGACATGAATTTAGGGTAATTTCTGAGAGGAGCCTGAGTAATCACCTCTTTTCTGTGTATTCAAGGATGCCAGCCACTTTTTGTAGCAAAGCCCTCGCATCTTACTTTAATTCAGACAGCTGGTTTGTTATGTGGCCACAGCAGGAATTCGGCAATCTAAGCTCATTAGAAATGGGTTCAATAGTGTTTTGTAACTTCCTTTACTATTCCCTAAACCATGCAGTTATATCTCTTTCAGCACATTCATGTCAACTATTTGACTTTTTGCTTCATTAAACTTTCATTAGAAGATAGTCAAAATTAATGATTGGTAAACTGGCTTGATAGCTCATCTGTGTTACTACATATCCACAACTCATATTTTAAAATAAGTTTATAAACTCAGCAGTTCCAACATCAATCAGACAGTATTCTTCTCCCCTGAGGAGGAGGGAGGGAGGGACAGAACAGAGGTCAAGCATGTCAGGCCAATGGAACAACCTTCATACAAGAGAAAACATCAAAAGGAGAAAAGGAGTGTTGCTTTGTAATATCTGTGCTTTTCTATGTGTGAATGGCCTACGATCACATTGACTATCCGTGGCAGAGCAGACTACGTCCTGTGCGCTTGACCCCCTTATTATACTGCCTCCCAAAGAGTTTCTTATTGTTTGATTGTTCTCATTTTCAGTGACATTGATTGCTCTTTCATTTTATTCATACCTTTCGATTCAACACATATTTATGGAGCAACTATTGCATGCAATGCTCTGAGAGGAATAAAATGATCCATAAAAATGACCCTTGTTCTGGGGGCATTCCTGGTCTTGGAGTGAACAATGAGAAAGAGAAAAAATAGAACCTATAGGAAGGTGTTACCTCACCTGGATATTTTTGCCCTTTGGCCAAGCATTGTCCTGTTTTGTATCATACAAAATATGGACAGTTAAGTTGGATGTTTTGACACATGCTTACAATGAGAGGTTTAACTGGGAACAAACCCATATTCAGATACATTTCTGATGTGACCTAAATGCTCACACACTTAACCCATCCTTCTTCTTTCTACACAACTGCCTTCTTTTAGTTATTAATTCATTCAATATTTATCAGGGGCACTTATTTTAAAAGTTCCTTATCAAGTTTTGTGTTGAATATTAAGGTTTATACAACTCAATACCAGACCTCAAGAACTTTATATTCCTGGGGACTCTTGCAGATCATTTTGACATGGATTGGGCTGGTATTTTTCACCACCCACGTTCTCCCTCAGTACTATCATCAGTTTGACTTGATAAAAAAATAGAAAGTGGTGTCTTTACAGAGCCTTGGGTGTGTTGGGCAGTGAAGAGCTTGGAAATTATGAAAGACCTTGCTCCCTAGAAGAAAAGGATCAAACATGTTGTCTCAGTGCCCTCGTTGTTAGAAATAGCTTAAAATCTTGTTTCAACAATTTTTTTTATTTAGAAACTTTAGCAACAATAAGATTACAGACATTGAAGAAGGAGCATTTGAAGGAGCTTCTGGTGTCAATGAAATACTTCTCACGAGTAATCGCTTGGAAAATGTTCAGCATAAGATGTTCAAGGGATTAGAAAGCCTGAAAACTTTGTAAGTATTTTGATCTGCATAGTGACTTTTACCACAGCATTGTAGTTCACTGGTCATTATAATTCTGGTCTGGGGAATAGTGCGGACTTCTCACCCTCCCATCTCTGTGTCTGTCTCTCACAAACACACAAACACAAAACACATGCACACACACACATTTTGTGCATGCAAACATTCCCTGACTCGAATACCCCTGACTTCAGTGCGTTGCTTTACAAAGATCAAAAATGTCTCCTGGCCGCTGCTGATTTCTCAACAAAAAAAGATTGCCCTTCTTCCAACGCTGGTACAGATCTCTCCCTGCCCCCGCCCCCCCGCCCCTTCTGCCTCAGAATGTTCATCCTCTTGTATTTTCCTCAGCCTCCATCTAACATTCACTTTTGGCCCCCGGACTTGAGCTTCAGAATCCAATTGAAACCCTGTGGCAGAATAACTAACAGTTTATCTGGAAACCACCTTCTTTCACTCCTCTGAAGTCTTAGTGAAAAAGAGAGACTGACTCATGGTAGATCTTGTACTATCTATTTCAAAGAAACATGCTAAGAGGTATGTCCATTTGTTGAGGGGTAGGGAAGTTAAGAAAAAGAAATTCTATATGTTTCCAAAAAAGTTGTTGGCCAAAGAGGACAGGGATTGGATTGAATAGCAAAAACAACACTTTGTTACTTGAATTTTCTACAGTGCATATATTTAGTTTTTATGATCTCTAAAGTATATATTATGTTTGACAAAAGTGGCAACCTAAAAATTGGAAGAGACACAACCCAAAACTTGGAAGCCTTTGGAAGACGTGAAGGAAACTACTTGTAACCAAGAAGCTGCTGATGGTGATTGCAGTGGAGAGAGGTCCAAGCTCCGCCATGTCTCTAAACCATCACCCCGCCCCTCAGAGCCACAATCAGGGTGACTGTAGCTGAGAAGCCCCCTGCCTGCTCAATACCAGATGCAGAAGGAGAAGACCATTTCCCCAGCCAGTGTGGATGTGTTCATAGCTTCCTAAATTCAAATTCTCCTGAAAAATCTCTGCCCGTGAACGTAGACGTGTGCTCCTTGAGCTTCACAGGGAGAGTGTGGCATTTAACTTCCAGTAGGTCCTGCCTGCAACCCTTCTACAGACTAACTTGAGCCCCTTCAAAATGTTATGCAAATATTCCTTTAGCCTTTTTATGGAGGAGATACCGAGGAGAGGGGAGGGGAGAGCAGAGAAAATGCACCCCAGGTGGATTCATCTACTCCCGCTCCCCCTCTGCCCACAGGGCTGCCTCCGGTAACTCAGCAAAACAAATCCAGCAAGCAGAAGCCTCCTTTGTTGGATACTAGTTGGGGGACTACTTGTTACGGGAGCCTTCTCTTTGGAAGGGGCAGCATGAGGGATGGGGAGAGGTGGGGAAGGAGGCGGAAGGAGTCTTGGGCTGCCTTGGGCTGCCATAACAAGATACCACAGACTGATGATTCAACAACAGAAATTTGTTTTCTCACAGTTCTGGAGGCCAGAAATCCAAGATCAAAGTGCTGAGAGGGCTGGTTTCTGGCAAGATCTCCTCTTGGCTTGTAGATGGTGCCTTCTCACTCTGTTCTTATATGGCCTTTCCATGTGTGCGGAGAGAGTGAGCTCTTGGTGTCCCTTCCTCTTCTTACAAGGATGTGAGTCCTAACAGATTAGGGTCCCACCCTTGGGACCTCATTTAACCTTAATTACCTCCCTCAAGGCCCTCTCTCCAAATATAGTCACTTGGGGGTTAGGGTTTCAACATATGAATTTTAGAGCACAGAGTCAAGTTCATAACACCAAACTAGGCAGCTCATTAAAGTGGTTTTTTCTGACTAGTTCCATTTACAGGACTCTCCCTGAGACAAGTCATCCTTCATTATATTTCTAGAGATGTTATTGTGCCTCATATTTGGCACGTAAGACAGATGCCCCTGGCTGTCTCCTTCAGCCACTCTGCTACACAAGAATAATAGAGCATTTTAGAGCCAAGCTCAGAGTATTCAAAGGACAAAAGTAGGTTTGTCTGGACATATATATTTCTCCAAGTGTTATCTCTCAGCTTGGAACTGTGAAGATTGTGACAAGGCGCTCCACTATCCCTAGACTTCTTAACTCTGTAGGACTAGTAAACCTCTTAGTAGTATGTGCGCACATTTCAGTGAGGCTGAATATTTGACCTTGCAGGCAAAATGTAGTACCTATGTGTGCTTCTGGATTTTTCTAGCAACAGAAAGCAAAGCCTTCTTCAGCTTCTCCCAGGGGTCCGTGACTTCACCAAGATTAAGAACAAGTATTCTTTGTCACTTACAGCAAATGATAGTGCTGATAGAAATACCTTTCTGTTCTGCATTTGCTTGCGAACATAAAATGATGCCTTGATAAGGATGGCATCATTCTTTCTATCTGTGACTTAGCAGATCACCCAAATTGATATTTCTTATTTATTTCTATAGATAAGATAAAATTCTAGAATTTTATTTTATTTTTAATTTTTTTTAATTATTCATGAGAGTCAGAGAGAGAGATAGAGAGAGGCAGCGGCAGAGGGAGAAGCAGGCTCCCCACCTAGCAGGGAGCCCGATGCGGGACTTGATCCCAGGACTCTGGGATCATGACCTGAGCCGAAGGCAGATGCTTAACCATCTGAGCCACCCAGGCATCCCAAATTCTAGAATTTTAAAGGAACACTCTGTTATTCATTTCTTTTTGCCTCTGTTTTATATACTGCAATCTTCTAGTAGGGTAGGGTGGTCCACACATGTCTAGAAAAATTAAGGGAAATAACTTTTCAGCCTTATTTCTCATTAAGATTCATGGCAACTGTTCATTTTTACGTGGGGGTTTTTAAGGAATTTTTCACTCCTTTTCTAAGCCCCACAAATAAACAGTTCAACAGAGAATTAAGAATGGAGCCAAAATTGGGCGCCTGGGTGGCTCAGTTGGTTAAGCGACTGCCTTCGGCTCAGGTCATGATCCCAGAGTCCCTGGATCGAGTTCCGCATCGGGCTCCCTGCTTGGCAGGGAGTCTGCTTCTCCCTCTGACCCTCCCCCCTCTCATGTGCTCTCTCTCTCTCATTCTCTCTGTCTCAAATAAATAGATAAAATCTTTAAAAAAAAAAAAAAAGAATGGAGCCAAAACTTCAGCAGTGACGAGGAAATGACAAGTGTTAATCCTCTTAATGGCAATGACTAAAAAATGTTTTAAAAAGGTCAGAATTCTTTCAAGAGAAGCCTATTTAAACTTCACTGTGAACAACTGGAATCTGTTAATGATTGCCTCTTTTTAAGTTCCAAACTTTAAAACAATAATTTTCATAAATAAAATAATCTGTGCAAGAATTGTGGGTGCTCCATCTCGTTTGGGTTCCCAGCTCGTGCTAACATTAACTTGGCCTGTGAGTCCTTGAGGTGCCCTCAGTTCTTCATCTGCTGTGACTATTGATTCTTCTCTGCTTCCTTTCTGTTAAACCTGGGATATAATGCTACCGTGAATACACAGATCACATGAATTCAAGGGCTCAGAGAGCTGTAGGTGAATTGGGACATTATGTAATCAGGCAAACACAGTTACAGCATCAGAGGAAAGAACATCCTACCCTCATCAGATGGGAGATGGGGCCAGGAGTCCACGTGAGGCTCACTGGTCTCTTCTGTAGCGCGGTGTGATCATTGTAAGCTACGCATTTTACTCTCACGCAGTTGTTGGTGTACATCCGCAGTGATTCCTAATGACAAGAAATCATTCAGAAACCAGTTAACGAATGTTGCACATTTGCAGAGAGGGGTTATTTGGTCCTCGGATAGGCAAAGCGGATTGCTTGATGCTTTCTCTCCATAACCATGTTCTCTTTTCCCTCAGGATGTTGAGAAGTAATCGTATAAGCTGTGTTGGCAATGATAGTTTCGTAGGACTGAGTTCTGTGCGTTTGCTTTCTTTATATGATAATCAAATTACTACCATTGCACCAGGGGCATTTGATACTCTCCATTCTTTATCTACTCTGTAAGTATGAAGGATAGTGTTCATTTATGCATGACTGACCCAGTGTATTATATTTCGTACTTTTATTAATAGCATTTTAATGCATTATTAGGCATTTCACAAAAATGTAGTCAAGTGTTTATGGATCGACAAAATGTGTCCATGTTCAGCTTATTTTAATTTTTCTAAAAATATTACCTACTATTTTATATTAAAATTTAGCAAAAATTTAACTATTTTTCCATTGACTCTTTTATAATAATGTGATGTGACGTCATTTATAGATTTTCATTTTATTATAACTTGATGACACTGCACATCACAGAAATGTTGTAGATTTTCCCTGGTGTTCTCACAATGGAGTCTTTTCAGCCCAAGTATCATAAAAACAGAGCTTGATAGGGTTATTGCCAACAAACTATGCTCAGAAGGATCATTTGCGGTGACAGGAGCTACATTAGGATGACCCAGACCAACAATAAAAACTGTTCACTAGAGGGCATTTACTATGATATTAGGAAAATATTGAAGAAATAGGTTGAGCCTGTCCAAGAGGACATTTTATGTAGACAGTTAGAAAATAAAAAATATTTGTTGGTCTATAGACACTCAGAAGGTGTTTGTTTGTTTGTTTTTTAAAGCCCTCTCAACAATGTATTTCAGTTCTCTTAAATGTCGGCATCTAAAAAGCAATATTTGAGATGATAAATCTTATAACGGATTTGATTTCCTAGTAACGATGGCATCTAAATATACTAATCTAACTCAAAAGGTAGTTAGAAAGAAAAAAAAATGTCCAACGTAACTCAAGTCATTGAATAAATAATTTGAGGGAAGCATCCATCCATCAGTAAAGTACTTAATCCTCTTTCCACATAAAATGTGACACTTTACATTGAGTGACTAATTTGTGCATATTAAAGATAGCATGTTTATAAATAATAAGGTTGTCAGTAGGTTTGTGCTGAAGTGGTGAGATGCCAGAAGTATTGAGATTTGTAGAAGTAAATTCATTTTTATAACTGGCATTTAATCAACTCAGCTGTCAGTTTAGATGGGAAACCTATTCTCTGGAGCAAATAAGAGATGGAAATCTTGAAATGACAAATTAATGAAATAGCTGTTGTCAGGTTAAACTCAATAATATAAGGTAATCAGCCTTCATCTTTATATTAAATTATTGCATTATCAGTGAAGGGAAGTTTGACAGCAAGTCAGATCGCTGATGAGTTTAAATTATCTCTAAATGAGATCTCTATCAGGATCCACTGCATAAACCCCAAAATCGCTGCCTTTGCTTTATTTTCCACATGAAATTATTTGAAGAATTCTTATGTAAAAGTGTTGTTATTTTTTTAAATTCCAAACATACATATTTTAGCCAAAAAAAATGCATCCCATATGTTGTGTGTGATTATGAATGGGGGAAAGAGATGGGGAGGGGCGCGGGGAATACAAAGAATAAGAATGAATCATTCCAGCAGAAGAAGTGTGGGGAAAAATGGTAGCATGGTGTTTTGAGAAGGAACAAAGTGAAACCCTAAACTCAACCCTGCCTTGTTTGCATGCGGCTCTTAGAAACCTGTTGGCCAATCCTTTTAACTGCAACTGCTACCTGGCTTGGCTGGGTGAATGGCTAAGGAAGAAAAGAATTGTAACCGGAAATCCTCGCTGTCAGAAACCATACTTCCTCAAAGAAATCCCCATCCAGGATGTCGCCATTCAAGACTTCACCTGTGATGATGGTAAGAAAGCCTTGCTAAATCTTCCGGCACCAGGCATTCACGTGACCAGTCTGATGCTCTGGGGCCCAGCTAGAACAGTGTGTCCTAGTTCAGGCAACAGATAATTTTGTGCATTTTTTGCTTTTGTTTTGTTTTGTTTTGTTTTAGAAACAGGGCACATACTTCCTCAGACTTTTACATCCACGTCCCCTTGATTTGTGGTTGGTACTGTTTATGTAGTTTCATTTTAACTTTATTATTCTATGCCTCTCTTTTAGTAACTGCCATTTTCAAAGGAGAAAAGCAATTGACTTAAAAAAATAGAAATTCTAGGAAACCTAACGAAAATAACAGTTTTCACTTTTTAATGCTCTGTATGTATCACCATATTTGATTCTTGTAATAGCCTTGTAAGGTAGCAGGTTTTGTTATTACTGCCAGGGAATGGAGAGCCCCTTTGAGCCTTATATTTTTTTTTTTAAGATTTATTTATTTATTTGAGAGAGCGAGAATGAGAGAGAGAGAGTACATGAGAGGGGGGAGGGTTAGAGGGAGAAGCAGGCTCCTTGCTGAGCAGGGAGCCCAATGCGGGACTCGATCCTGGGACTCCAGGATCATGACCTGAGCCGAAGGCAGTGGCTTAACCAACTGAGCCACCCAGGCGCCCGAGCCTTATATTTTAAAATGGGGGGGGCCTGTACATTTTCTGCTAAACACTTTAATCTACCCCCTTTATGTCGCTGCATGTCTGTGTCCTTATAATTTCTCCATAATTCAGTGTAAATTTACATATTCTCATTATAAGTGTAATTTGTATAAATAACCTAACAAAGAAAATTACTGTTATGATTGGAGGGATGATATAAATTGTTGAGCTATTTTCTGGAATTCAGCCCTAGGCAATCTGAAAGCAGTGCTGTATCCAATGGATGGCATCAATTTGTAAACATTCCATGTGCTGTGTGTACTGAAGTGAGCTTGTGGCTCAAGACTCTTGTGTTTGTTAAGCTAAAACCATAACATCCCTTCTTGCATTTTCAAAGCCACACATCTGGGTTTTCCTGTATTTCTTTTGGCAAATCAGGCAATGATGAGAGTAGCTGTTCTCCACTCTCTCGCTGCCCCACGGAATGCACATGCTTGGATACAGTGGTCCGATGCAGCAACAAGGCCTTGAAGGTCTTGCCCAAAGGTATTCCCAGAGACGTCACTGAATTGTAAGTAGAGCTTGCCTTTCTGTTTCCTTAACAATTAATATTTCAACAGGGGAAATGGAAACCAAACAAAAATCTTCAGAGTCTTATTTCCAAATTCTATTCTACAGGCCATTAAATAGTATCATGTAAAACCCTAAACAAATAATATAAAAGCCAGTTTAGATACACTTGGGAAATGCTGGTTGTGTGTGTTTCTCTCTTATTCATTGTAGGATTTCTCAATGTCTATATTATGCTAAGGTACACTATGAAGCTCCAAGAGAGGGTGGTAAAATATAAGATAGCTCCCATACTTGTTTGTCCCTATAGTCCTTTTCTCATGGACCATCTTGCAAGACTCATGTTCCATCAAATACACCTTGGGAAATGCTGTTTATTTAGTTTATCTACATTGTCTGGGATAATCCAATGGTTAATTATTCTTTACCACTGTGTCCACTGGGAGAATAGCTTCCCACATGGGATACATAAATATCTAGGATGTAGAAGAAACTGGCATAATCTTTATCCTTAAAAAAGATGTACTGCCCTTTGGACTTGAATTAGAATCCTTTAGATCATGAAGGGTGTGGAGCCAATTATCCCTAACATTTTCATATCTGATATATGACCAACAGATGACCTGATCAGTGTATACTCATCTAGATACCAAGCACCATGCACACTTTCTTAGCTGCCTCGTGTTATATATGTGGAATGGAATAAATCCAAGGACAAGCTGCTTGAATAATATGATGCATGCGTGCTCCATTCCATTACGTAACCTGCATACTAATGTACCAGGAACAAATGCTTGGTGTGAGTGCAGTTGAGTCATTTTGCCTCTGTTTATTTTTTTCTGTGTGGAACTATGCATCAAAAATGATTTAAGTTCCAATGTAATTTGTGCAGATGTGTCCCTGTAATTCATGCCCATGTGTGCAAGCATTCTAAATGAGCAGCTTTGATAAACTTTTGGCAACATGGAACATAGGTAATGACTTTCAAGAAGATGTCACTTCAGTCATCAGAGAACTTATTTGCAAATCATGTGCAGTTCTATGAACGCTAATTTGGTCCTGAATTGAACACTTAGGGGAAAAGAAGGTGTGATCTTAGCACACATACACAGAAGGTCCCTCTTAGATTTGAACAGCTGTGAAGTGTTCCATTTCTCTCTTGCGCTGCAAGTCACAGTTGTTAATTGACTATAAGCACTACTTTGTGTGTGTGTAATTAAATACTTAATTCTTACTTTAATAATTATTTATTTCAGAAGATTACTCTCCATCCAGCTAGATGCCTTTAGAGTATTCTGTATGCAAAGCATTGATTCTGGGAACACCCCAGCCAAGAACACAACACTCAGCCTAACCAGATTATCTTGAACTCGGAATCCCTTCTTTTTACCTGGCCCATACCTTAATGCTTCTCCCCCCGATGCCTATCAAATAATTTTAAACGTTCTTTAATTTCCTTATTAAACTACATCTGAGAACCTTTTTGATTCATATCCTGTCTATGCCATCCATATGTTTCTTCTTTCAGACAGTTGAATCTTCAATCTGTTTCTTTACAAAGTATTAAAAAGTAATATTTTTCTAAAGAAATATGTTACAGAGATGAGGAAGATATTAACTCATCTCTTGTGAATTCTAGTTTTACCTCCCCAAGAGCTTATTCTTAGAATAATACCAAGTCAACAGGATCCTTTTCTACAATCAGGTACATGCATGTATTAGAAAAATTTCATTGTGTATTATATTAAATTACTAAAGAATTTGGCAAAAATGAGGACATATTAGTGGACAGTTTTGAACAAATGGTATCTCTTATTTTTAATCAGTTCCATATAATTTCCCTCTTAGATTGTTTTACATGTAAACATCCATAGCACACATTCTGAATCCTTTTAGCTTTCTGTTATGACATTTTCCAAAATAAAGGGAGAATACTGAAGTCTATGGGATTATGCTTCCCTCTAGTGGTACCAAGAAATATGTAGGTGGAGGAGAGAAAGGAGTCAAAGAAGAAATCCGAAGGCAGAAAATTTGAGCGGGCATAAGTTAGAAGTCATAACACATGCCCTCTTCTTAGTCCCATATTTACTACATATTTTGATAACTTGTGCCTTTTATATAACTTTTTATTTTGAACTATTCGAAATAGATTATTATCTGAGGCAATTTCTCAGCTACTTCTTTATCCAGCAAAAATACAAATAACCTCAACCTTAGATCTCAAGATGGGCCACGACACTGGGGGAGGAGGTGCCCTCTGCCCAGTGGGTCAGAATTATTTGTGGGCTCATCTACAGCCAGACAGACCACGTTGCTGAAAGACATTTTAACCTTCATCATCTATATTCTGGGAAAATACAGCCTTGTTTGAGATGGAGTTTATTTTTCTTTTTGTGACATTATGGACGGAACCTAAAGCATTCATTTATTTTTATGCCTTGGTAGTTAGCCCAGTGTCTATCTATTTTCAGATTATCCTGCTGACTTTAATCAGAAAAGGAAACTTCACATATATGTGGTTATTTGATTATTACTTTTACACATATATATTTGTGCCCTTGATAAAAGTTGTGATTTTCTGTAAAACCTTCTAAAATTATTATCACAAAGCAGATACACAGTGGTTAAAAACTATTTTAGGTTATTTTTAACTGAAATCTAATTTGAAATCCTAAGTATCTCCTTTATTTACTAAGTGTATGGATCCCAATAAGGTGGTGAAGAATGGTCTCGCCCTCAGTAGCAAGGTTCTGTCGGTAGTGAATGCATTTCATGGTATTTTCCCCATGTAAATAAGAGCAGACGGGAGGCTGATGGAAAATATGGCTGATTGAATGAACCTTCTTCTTGATGCACAAATGGTTGGACACGTGACTCGCGTCATTACATAAACCACAAAGAATTGGGCTTACCAGTCTCTCCTTGGTTTTATAATTTACACTAAGTGATTCCACAAAATAATTCTACTGGATTGGACAACTGCGCTTTTTTTTCATTTACTTCTTTTAAATAACAATCCCAGCTAGGGCGAACATGATGTCTTAAAGCCAGAATTGCAAAGTGCTTCCTTGCCTCAGTTAAAAGTGAAACTAAGTTATGCCACACCATTGTTCCTTTAAAAAAAGATAATATTGTTTCCTTGTTTTTAGGTATCTGGATGGGAACCAATTTACACTGGTGCCTAAGGAGTTCTATAACTACAAACATTTAACACTCATGTAAGTAACGTATTGTATTTTTTTCCATCTTTGACTTACTCTAGTTCACCAAAGTGGGGGTAGCAAGGGGCAGAAGATTTAGTGAACCTTTCAGATAATATAAATCATTTACAGTTAGATGCTTCCCTCCTTCCTCATTGCGGTTCTGGATCAGTAGGTGCATCTTCATTGAATATCAATCAGGCATCTTAGAGAAAGGACCTCCTCCATTCAGAGTACAAATATGATAAAGTCTAAGTATCAGAGAACTAGAGAAATGCAGTAAATTCGATACTTCTACTGATAATGAACATGGGCTGTTTTATGACAAGCCAAGAAAAGAAAGAAAGAAAGTAATGGCTTTATTCTTCTTGACTTTAAGCAAAAGATTGTGGATGATAATAACTTTACTCATAATACATTTTATTAGGTTTGATTTTCTTATATAATACGCTCTAAGTTAAGTTATGGACTTCCAGTATTCAAATTTAATTTTATAAAATTCCTTTTTAATTACACAGTATTTAAGTAAACTTGACAAAGATGCTGACATTCTGAGCATAAATTTCAGACACTGACTTTTCACTTTGCTTTGAGGCCCTTGTAAAATAACATCTCTCTTTTTCATCAATGTAAATGATTTTTAAGTGACAATACAAGATTATATTTAAATATACCAACATTTCAATCTAGTTATATGCACAATATTTTTAAAGAGATAATCTTACTGTATATAATGTCATACTTAGAGTAGCCTTGCTGGTAATTGATAAAGCTTCTCAAAAAACAAACAAACAAAAATAAGCAACAGGAGTAAATATAAAGGGAAATACTTTATCTTTAGTTTAAGTCCTATCTTATTTTAGAGTAAATATGGCTGGCTGAGGAGGCCAATTTCTAGTGTTCCTACAACAAGGAGGTTGATTCCTAATTAGTGAATTCTAGAAATGTAAGTCCCAGAAAGTGTTACATTTCTCAATGTAATCTTGGCCCTAGAAAGGTTGTGGTTGGTTAAAACACTGTTAATCCTTTTCAGTTTCCCTTAAACATGTAAGAAAATCACTTGGTAGAAAGTATGTAGGACTGTTTAAATGACAAATGATTAAATTAAGAAAGAGAGAACATCCCCTAAGATGTCTTGTTCTGCCTGCCTCTCGTTACTTATTTAGTAGCAGTAGGAACTGATTACATACATTTTGTTCTGTTAAATAAACCATTAAATTGCTGCAATTTCCAGAGGGTCACTTCGGCAGAACTGGGTCATTTGTGGGACAGTATGCAATTATTTAAGACCAGTTTGGAAATGAAAAATGAGCATTTGTAGATCCAGAAATGGCTTTACCAATGACTCATTATGCTACTCTAGGCAAATAACTGCTGCTAATATAGACACACTTATTTACTTTCTGAATTTAGGGATAGTACTTCAGCTGCCGAGAGGATGGATCATGAAGCTACTCTAGCATTCCTGTCATTTCTCAAGTTGTATAGGTTCATTTTACTGATATTTTGGTCATTTTAATAAAGGAATGGATAATCTTTGGTTTTTCTGCATTTTACATTTATTTATATATTTTGCTTTAGGAAACAGTAGTGAATATACACACATATAGTGATCATAAACCATGACCTAGAATTTTTCATTTATTCATAAATCTTCCTTTTATTTATGTATTTAGCATTCTGCAGTAGAGAAAAATTAGTGAATATATACATATCACTCTATGACTATGTGTATTTATATACTCACTCATTTCTTCCTATTGCAAAATCGCCAAAGATACATAATATGCCATTATATATTATATATTATATTACGTTATATTGCAATATAATTATAGTTACAATATGTATTACATATGTCATATCTTATATAGTCACAGATATATATAATAAAAAGAAGATCAAGTTCACTGAATATAAATCACAGCCCATAGTACCAGTTATACTTGGCTATAAATAGCCATATAGCATTGGTTAAAAAACCCACATCTCTCTTATTTACTTATTAATTAAAGCGATATTTATTAAGGACCTGCGTATTGTGTGCCAGTGATTGGCCAAGGGCAAAATTTTTCATTATGGCATTGCAAATGTAACCAAATGAATGCTTTTAGTTATCAAATTTGCCTGTGTGTACCAGGGAAGCTGAAGAATATGCAACCAATGGAACGTTCAAGAACAAAGGTGTATCTCTCACACATAAAATGGGCCTCCCCATGTCTTTGCTCTGGGACCAGGACATAGGCCCTGGCTGTGGAATATCACAAGTCTTGCAGAAGAGCTAGCAGAGAGTGATACGGGAAGCATGAGCTCGTTCTAACCTTCAGTTCTGAGGTGGCCGTACTTCCTTCACTGGCCAAAGCAAAACATTCTCACTTCTAATTTCAACAGGCAGAGGCGTGAATAATTATGACTATTACAGTCCATCCCAGGGGTTATCCAGTGTTTGGTTATTTTCAGGTAAAAGCTGAGTGCTGGCAGTGCTGCTGTGACCGAGCAAGAAGAGCGTTCTCTTTGGAAGAATCACTAATATTTCACCTTCTCTGGTAACAGTTCACTCCATTTGTTTCTCTTTTCTCTTGTAGAGACTTAAGTAACAACCGGATAAGCACCCTTTCTAATCAGAGCTTCAGTAACATGACCCAGCTCCTCACCTTGTGAGTATGAAAATCTGGTCCTGAGTATTTATTAATTCACTGGACAAAATGCATTTTCCAGGCACTTGGACATTCTCTGTTAACAAGACAGATAGAGCCTGCTCTCAGGAAATATAAATATTGTTGGGAGAAAGAGACAAGAACAACCTCAATTAACAAACAACTACAGATATTTTAAAAACCTGTTGGGTTCCAGAAAAGAAACAAAGAATAATTTACGTTTGTGGTGGGGTTGGGAGAGATCCTTAAGAAGTCTGTCAGCTGAGGGAGGGAATAGTTGAGGCATTAGCATCGGCTGGGGCAGGAAGCATTCTAGACTGTATTTAGAAAGAAATAGGCTGTATTACTGAAAACACAAACAGTCACAAAGTACTATACATCAATATTCCCAGTTTATAAAATGCTGAAACAACCTTTTTCTTAGTCTTTTTATTTTTAAAATGACATTTAGCCATTTGGGGGTATCTGAGTAAAACAAAACTGCTATGTATGCTTTCAGAATTCTTAGTTACAACCGTTTGAGATGTATTCCTCCTCGAACCTTCGATGGATTGAAGTCTCTCCGATTACTGTAAGCATCTTATGGTCAACAAAATATCTCTTATCTCAGGGATCTGAGTTTGGGCTTGTGTTTTTTACCGATTTAACTGCTTTTTTGATTCTTGGGCATTTTCAGACATATATATTAGGATTTACTACAAATTTGGACATAGGAAAATTACATCTTTTCCTGTATCACTACTCTGCAGCCTTTATTTGGACGACACCACATTGTTGCTGTAGTCATTGATTTGGTAATAGATAATAGTAAGATGTATGTTTTATACAGATCCAACTCACTTTGAACAACATACAAGAAATTTTCATTTCTTTAAAAATTACATAATCAATGAGTACATTTTTACTATTAAAATGTATTTTATTTTATTTTAAAGATTTTATTTATTTGACAGAGAGGGAACACAAGCAGGGGGGAGTGGGAGAAGGAGAAGCAGGCTTCCCACTGAGCAGGGAGCCTGATGTGGGGCTCGATCCCAGGACCCTGGGACCATGACCTGAGCCGAAAGAAGATGCTTAACAACTGAGCCACCCAGACGCCCCTAAAATGTATTTTAAATATATGAAGTGAGACATGATCCCCAATCACAATCCCCTCCCCCAGAATTAATTAACAGTTCTATGTTGTCTTCTGGTCCTTTTTTATATGCATTTGTTTTTAGATGCTGATACACATATGCCCACAGCTCTACACTTTCTAAACAAGCGTAAATAGGATTTGTTCTTGTTCTGTCATCGGCTAATTTTTATTTAACAATATTCTTTACAGTATTTCCATTCCATCATATAAAAATATTCCTTAGCTGTTTAACTCGTACAAGAATATTCCATAGGATGAAGGAACCATAGCTTACTTAATCATCCCCATCTTTAACTCTCATGTGGTAGTTTTTTGGGTTTTGGGGGAGTTTTCTGTTGTTTTTTAGAGAGGGGGAGAAGGGCAGAGGGAGAGATTGAATCTTAAGCAGGCTGAATGCCCAGCACAGAGCCCAACACGGACTCAATCTCACAATCATGAAATCATGACCTGAGCTGAAATCAAGAGTGAGACGCTTAACCGACTGAGCTACCCAGGTGCCCCAACTGTCATGTGGTTTGAGTCCAGATTTTCATTATTCCATACAGTGCTGGAATGAACATCCTACACATTCATTGTACTGTCAAGTGTGTTGTGAGGATACCAAAAGTAACTGTGAGGTTTTTCCCTCCAAAACAAGAATTTGTCAGTTTACAAACTTATTTTCCACCAACTCTGTTTTAATAGAGTACTGTTACAAAGCACTCTGGAAAATACTGAATGGTATTAATTCTTTCATTTTTGTTCTGTGACAGATTGAGTACTGATTTTAATGGAGTACCTATTTCAAAGCACTCTGGCAAATATGGAATAATATTAATAGTTCTATGACAGATTGAACATTATTTTCCATTCCTGTTTTAATTTGAAATTCTAATAACTAGAGCATTTGTGTATATTTTATTTTTTTATTGATTACTTGTGTTTCTTATTCCATGGGCCTGATCATATCATTTTTGATTTTCTATTGGGTACCTTGTTTTTTCCTTATTAACATACATGTCTTTATGCATCTACTATTTGACTCTAACTTTGCAGGTCTTTTTACAAATGAATTAATCCTTGTATCTTATATATATTGTCAATATTTTCCATTCTGTTCCTTATATGTTATCTTTCATGTTATGGATATATTTTGTGTTGTCAAAAATGTGTTACTCTTTTCCTTTATGGTTTCTGACTTATATATGGTGCTTTGAAAGCCTTTCCCAGGGCACCTGGGTGGCTCAGTCAGTCGAGCATCTGCCTTCGGCTCAGGTCATGATCCCAGGGTCCTGGGATCGAGTCCCACATCAGGCTCCCTGCTCAGTGGGGAGTCTGCTTCTCCCTCTGCCTCCTCCCCCTGCTCCTGATCTCTCTCTCTCCCTCAAATAAATAAATAAAATCTTTTAAATAAAAGAAAGAAACCCTTTCCCATCCTATGTTTATAAAAAGGAGCTCTTCCCTATTTTCTTTTCGTATATTTTTAGTTTTGTTTTTACATTTAGCTCTTCAATCTAGAATTGACTTTATGCATATGATGTGAAATAGGAACTTTTTGTTTTCCCAAATAGATACCCAGTTACATCAAGACTGTGTATTAAATAGATCATATTTTCTGTACTGACTTAAAATGCTTATTGTAAACTGAAGTCTCACACATGTGTGAGAATTTTTCTGAACTCTCTGACATATAAGAAATTTAATACTGCTTTTTTTTTTTTTTTGCTTTTAGTTCATTACATGGAAACGACATTTCTGTTGTGCCTGAAGGTGCTTTCAATGATCTTTCTGCGTTATCACACCTGTGAGTACCTAGTTCGTGAATGTGGGTTTAGGGTCAAACTCACACACAGTCCTCTGCCATCTCTTCTATTGTCACAACATGAGATGTGGTTGGCTCCATCTTTAAAGAAAATGTGAAGATTTTCAACCTAGCTACAGAGCTTTCTGCAAGATAGCCTTCATTTATCCTTTTGGCCCTTACTCTCTATTATCTAATGGAGTTGAATTCTCTTTGCTTAGCTAAAATTGTCTTCTTACAAACATGGCTCTCCAGCTTCCTTGCTATGCCTTTTCTCTTAATGTTCTCTGATTCTAGAATACCAGCTCCCTTTCCATTCAGTCTGCCCAAATCTTGTATTTTCCAGGTGACATTCTAAGTATCATGTCCTTTATGAAGCCTATCTTGATTTGCTCAAACTGGATCCATTTATTTAGCAAATATTATTCAGTGCTGGCTATGGCACCGTGGAAAAATAAATTAGAGATGGTTTAAGCCTTTATAGTATGATAGTGGGGAAACTGCCAAATCCTCATACTGGGTGAAATGTTTTTTGTTTGTTTGTTTGTTTGTTTTCTTTGTGCTCTGTCTCATAACAGCCTGTTTGTATCTCCTTATGTTTGGAAAGTACAACAAAACAACATAAAAATATGTCATACACTCTTTTGGGTCAAATTCCATTATTCCATTATTTATAGGGGTAGTGTTGAGACCACAGCAAACCTAGAAGGAGGATCCAGGAACAGATTTAGGATCTAAAACTTTCTTAGCTCAGGTCCAGTTTGGTGCCCCCTAGTGGCAATTATCCTTCAGATTAAATAGCAGGTGCTATCAGTTGCCTACCAGTTCCCCAGAAACTGCCTGCCATATTCTCTCTTGGCTTTCTCCTTCCCTCCAAAACCCAACAAATCCCAAGAAGATATGTTTAGAAAATTGAGAAAGGGGATGGGCAGAGGATAGGAGCCAGGAGTCAATCATGCTATATCTGAACGTGCTTTATGGGGCTCTGGCAATCACTGTAGGTTTTGTGTACATCTGTCTACCAGACTCTTTGGTGCCTACTGTTAATATCTCTCTCACTAAACTCTAGGGTCCCAGGAGACAAAACCTCCACTTTTTTGTGTGTGAACCCCAGCACCTACCTCAAAGGCAACATCGCCCCCCCCACCCCTCTACAAATTCCATGGATGTCATTTGCATGAGATACAGTGTGATTAAGCCTTCCAGCTCAGGGGTGCAGAACTCGGCACTGTCTGGGAAAGTTTGCAACATTAAGAAGAAAGTAGTCATTCTGTTAGTGTTTGGGTGATTTATCCGAAAAGGCAGCTGAAGGAAGGCGCTGCCTGAGCTGAGCAGATCTTTTCCTTCTGTGAGCGCCCCCCACCAACAGTAGGAGCAGTTCGAATTGTCCTTGCCATGTGTCTTGTCTGTCCTGTGTTTCTTTTATGCATTTGTCTTTGATTCTCTAGATCATAAAGAGCTCTGCTCCATTCACTTTTTCCACTGCGTCCCTTCACATAGGAAAGACTTAGCATTAAATGACTCCAAAACATCATTTTGCTCATTTTCAATTTCATAGAAAAGTTTGAATCTGAGCATAACATTTACTACACTCCAATTCTTGATTAGAGTTGGGCATTAAAACTGCTACCATATAAAGTATTATGGTTTCACAAGTATATTTTGGGATTTTCCTCATGAAAGAATAGGATTAATTTTGCTTGGACTACAGACCTAGAAGCATTACTATTCACAAGTTAATTATATTTATAATTAAATCAGAATTAATCTATTTTTAAATGCCACCTTATGCATCTACTACTTGCACCAAGCTTGGCAAGTTTACAAAACCCATAGGTTGATGTCTCTGGCCTCAGTTTCTCAATCTGTAAAATGAATTATTAATACTATTGGCCTCCTAGAGTTGTTATTTAGGGTAAAATGAGGTATTTCATATCAAGTGGCTCAGCACAGTACCTGCATTTTGCTGCAATAAATGTTAGCCATCATCTTGATTACTTTTTCTATTACTGCTACTGCTTATGGGAGTGGGAAGCCAAGTTCTAAAATGAAGGACTTTGTAAAGGGACAGACATCTAGTGAAGGTCCAGATCCACTCTAGTGAACTAGCTCTATGTGTCTTTATTATTTCATGCCCTTTCTTATCTTGGTCCCTTCACACTTACTGGTCCTTTACCCTGAAACACCCTTCCCAACCTTTTCCCACCTCCTTAATCTAATGATGTAAAAGCTCAGGTTTTTAACCACCAGTCTCCCAGAAAATTTACCCCTCTTCACAGTCACCTCGTAAATACTTTTACTGTAGCACTTACTAATGAGAATTATTTGCATGTTTGAGAATGTGTTAATCACTTTCCCAGAAGCAGTTCTTTGGTGTTAAAAATAATGTATTATTTATAATTTGGGGCCCCAAAACCTGGCATAGTGATTGGGTCCTCAGTAAATCATTAGCGAATGAAGGAAGCATTAATCTGCGTGTCAGGTACGCATGTACCCAATATAAACCTGTCTCTGCAAATACAGGAACACCTTGTGGAGCCCAGGTAAATTTTTAAGGCTAGTGACAAGCCCCTAAGTCCCAGCTGCCCATAATTCAGGAAAATGGGGAATCCCCGATGTCTCCATTTTCTTCTAAATTGTTATCAATACATCCGTAGGGATTTTCTCCTGAGCACCACTTTGAGTTATGTTCCTTTAGGAAATAACAAGACGTCCGTACGGTGTGTGTGCGCTTCTGTGGTGTTGTTTTCCAGGGCAATTGGAGCCAACCGTCTTTACTGCGATTGTAACATGCAGTGGTTATCGGACTGGGTAAAGTCGGAATACAAAGAACCCGGAATTGCTCGCTGCGCCGGTCCTGGAGAAATGGCAGATAAATTATTGCTCACGACTCCCTCCAAAAAATTTACATGCCAAGGTACGATTTTTAACCCTTTGCCCTCCTGTAAATAAAAGTTCACTGTATTCATTTAAAAGGAAAAACATGGCTGCTAGACCTCAAAGGTACAGCTGAAAAGCCCCTAATAAATCATGGCTAATGACTAATGACTGCTTGCACAGGACCGAGCAGTTCCCTGAGGAGCCCCAGTAAAGAACCGGGCTTTTCAAATAAAAACTGCAGAAGTGATTAATTGGAAATGTCGAGGTTTTCTTTAAAATGTATGGCGAAATGAAGAGTATGCGATTTCTGGAAATTTCTCTCATAGCCTCTAACAAGTACAATATTTTGCTTTTGGCTTGTCTGAACCTGTGCCCGGCTCCCAGGGCTGCCAGGGCCCTGTGGTTTCCTGATGCCAGGTACGGAGAAGCAAGCCCTCCCAAGTGGTCAGGCCAAACCCTCTGACTCGCCTCCCATGTTGATGTGGGTGTCTCTTGCTTGTTTGCATCCCTCTCTTTTCCCCTTGTTTTATGTATCTGTGGATTCTAAATGGTGCCTTCGTGACAAATACATTTTCTTCTCTTATTACAAGATAATCCATGCCTGATATAGAAAATCCAAATAGGAAAATGTTAACGACAACAAACATTGTATGTCTTCGAGAGCTAAAATTATGCATTAATCACAATACCCAGAGATAACCACTACTGAACTTGATTTTATTAAATATGTTTTATGTGTAAAACTATATCCTGGTATTGTGGAACTTAGAGAGGTGTACAGTATGGTCTTGCCTTCCAAGGCTTGCAAACCTAGCTGAAGAAAAACTTTCCACACTTGAATATTTTAGGTAGGAAAAACATCTAAGTAGGTGATACTGTGCACTGGGTCATGGTGTGAGTTTCCAGCTTCACGTTCCGATAGTTAGATAACCTGAGTTTAATAGATTAACCAGCTTGTGCCTCAGTTTCCTCATGTGTAGGCAGAGATGATGATAGTACATACCTGAAAATGTTATTGTTAAGATTAGATATTACTACGTGTGAAATCAAAAAAAAAAAAAAAAAAGGTAAAGAAGATGCCAATGTCACAGAAACAGCATGGAATAGATTGCAGGGGTGGAGGGAGGGGGGAAATGGGGAGATATAGGTTAAAGGGCACAAACGTTGAGTGATAAGAATAAGTTCCGAGAATCTAATGTCCAACATGATGAGTGTAGTTAATAATACGATATTACGCTGGAAAGTTGCTGAGAATAGATCTGAAGCATTCTCACCACAAGCACACAGGGTTTAACTATATGAGAAGGTGGATATGCCAAATACTTGGATCTTATTAATCATTCCACAGTGTATGTATATATCAAATCACCACATCATGCCTTTTAAATATATACAATTATATTTAATTGTATATATTTAATATATATATACAGCTGGGGAAAAAGATTAGTTGAATTAATGTGTGTAAAACGCCTTGCCTTGCACGCAGTAAGCACTCAAAATAGGTTAGCTGACAATTTTATTATCATAACACTTTAGAACACCAACAACACTGGGATGTAGGACAAGCAATGTTTTACTGACCAAAGAAGGAATTTCTGAAAACCATATTCCCTCGAAGCATTTTTTTAAATGGCGTCTGATGTTTTTTTCAGAGCTATAAATGGCTGCAAATGATGTAGTTTGCAGTGCGCTGTAAATATTGACATTTTGAAACAAAACTCTTCCAGGGGCGTCTGTGTGGCTCAGTCAGTTATGTATCCGACTCTTGATTTTGGCTCAGGTCATGAACTCAGGGTCATGGTCTCAGGGCTGTGGGATCGAGTGTAGGTCAGGCACTACGCTGGGTGCAGAGCCTGCTTAGGATTCTCTCTCTTCCTCTCCCTCTGCCCCTCACCCCCACCACCCTTAAAGAAAAAAACAAAACAAAACAAAACTCTTCCATTATTCTTCTAAATATATTTGATGGAATCTAAATATCACAACTAACTTAAAAGAGACAAAAACAAGATCCTCTTTAGATTTTACATTGTTCTTTTTCCTTGAACTTCTGTTTTTCTCCTTGAGTTTCTATTTCCAGTACCTTGGAGAATTGTCTCATTTTTTGCTCCAAAAGTATATATATAATTTGAATTTTTAAAATGTCCTTCAACCAAAAATCTTTGAGTTTTTAAATTTTTCTTAAAATTGAATTGCTGTTAATACTCAGGCTCCATTGCTTGGGACAGCATAATTATTTATCAGCATGTTAATATTTTTATTAAAAATTGGAAGTAAACTTTACTGGAAATGCCTCTCCAGGATTATGTGCACTGATTGCAAGAGGCTTTGCAGATAATCAGTGTTTTAAATTATTCTTTTGTAACCGCAGATGTTTCTTTGGGGCAGTGCCCCCAAATTTCTGGTGTGCTGAAAGGCATATCATTGTTTTGGAAAGTGGAGGAGATTGTCAAATGGGAGATAGGGAAAGAGAAACTGGCATTAAAACTTTCTCTTAGGCATCATCATCGGGCAGATGTGTTTTAGAAAGCTGATATGGGGAAGTTGAGAAACTATAAACTGATTTTGTTATATTTCTTTGTAACCAGAGATGCTTGTTCTCCTTTCTGAAAAATGCTGGTGCTAATGTATGTTTCTCAAAGGTTAGAGTTCCCTGGAGATATTTCTTTTAAAAATATTTCATGATAATATAAATTTGAGAGAAGCTACATACTTGCATTCAATTCTCTGAGGGACATTGTTCACAGTCATTTACTACATGTTCTCAGAAGTCTGACACATACAAACGTACACACATACATAAGTGACTGTTGAACTCAAGATATAGCTAACTGATTTGACCTTTTTTTTTTTTAAGTTTATTTATTTATTTCAGAAAGAGAGATTAAGTGCGAGTTGAGGGGAAGAGCACAGGGAGAGGGAGAAGCAGACTCCCCGCTGAGCAGAGAGCCCGATGTGGGACTCCATCCCAGGACCCTGAGATCATGACCTGAGCTGAAAGCAGACGCTTAACTGACTGAGCCACCCAGGCACCCCAACATTTTTTTTCTTTAATAGCCTCTTGCTTAGTTGTTAGTGTGGCATGAATAGAAATATGCCTGAGGGAAAATTAGTCTGGATCAGTGATGCACGGTAAGACTTTCTGCAGTGATAAAAATCTTCTGTATCTGCGCGATCAAATACGGTAGTCACTGGCCATGTGTGGTTGCTGAAAGGTAGCTAATGCAACAGAGGAAGTGGATTTTTCATTTTATTTAATTTAAGTTTAACCTGAAAGAGTCAGGTGCAGCTACCAGCTCCCATGTTGGAGAGCGTGGTTGCTACAAAAGCTCAGAAGAAGAAATTGTGTCAGAGGAGAGTGGCTGTGAAAAGTTTAGTGCAGGTGTATCTAAGCCAGTTATTGGGACGGGATGTCAAGTCTGAGGATGGTGCCACGGAAGCAGAGCTGTGTTGTAGGAAAATGCTGGAACTGTGGTTTAGTTTAGTATTCATGAAGTTCTCAAGTCAACAGACTGCATATATTTCAAGCCATACCCTAAACTGGGTAGCAGATAACGTGGGTGTAGGGCAGGTGACAAGAAGGGTAGACATTCAGAACTCAACAAACAGAGTGTAATTGCATTTAGCAGACTAAGATTTACTCAGTTTTTCTATAACTTAATCTGCTTTTAGAGTGATAGCAGATGTTGAAACTCATAATGCCTTTTGCCAGCATTTCTTGGTAGTTGTCAAAGTACTGTGAAGTTTCATTGTCTTATTAAGACTCTTCTAGTTGAAGATTTATGACCGTTCATACGGCATCTTTGCCACTACTATTACCAAGAATAACAATAATAGTAATAATAACTAACAACAGCTTATATCGAGGGTCTGCATTATGCTGAGGATTTTACATAGATCCTTATCTCTTGTAACTTTTATAGCATTCCCAAAATAAGTACCATTATTTCCCCATTTGGGAGATGCAAATATTATAATTTAGAGAGATTAAATAATTTGTTCAGAATCACTCAGCTCCTAAGACAAGGAGCCAGAATTTTTGACTCACTGACTCCAATTTTTACCACTAAAATTTACTTTATAATTTTCAATAAAAATATTCTCAAAACAAATCAATATAAGTAAGAGTGCCATTCTACTATTGAAACATACTTAGAAAATGAAAGTTTTGGACCACTTTAATATGCTTTGCTAAAAGTATTTATTGATAATAAGTGGATTGGTAAAAGGTAAAGTACTCTGATCTACTAATTAAAATAATTCACTTGAAGAAATCTACTGGGTACTGAGTTTTTGAGCTATCAGGCCTTATGAGCTTAAAAGCAGTAAAATGACACTTCTTTAAATATTTTATAATTTGAGCTTTTAATATTTTAACTTTTCCCATAGTTATGCCAGTTTAATATGTTTTATTTTATTCATGAAAATCATGTAAGTACATGCTCCTAATATTAAGATTTGTAAATATGTAATTTCAAATTACAGCAGGAAGATGACTATCATTTAATTGAAGATGTGTTTATATAGCTATATATAAATATAATTTAAATGTTTTCTCTGCTAAGAAGGGCTAGGCCATTATTTTGAGTAATATATTCAGTTAACAATTTTTATCCTACATTTTTCAGAGTACTCTCCTTATGGTATATTATCATAGTTTCAGGGCACAACAAATAAATAAATTGGATGAAATAGATTATCAGATAATACTTAATTAATACCGAGATTAGAACATTCTTGAGTGAGAAGCAAATGGTCGTGACTTCTCTTGATAACCCAGATCTCCAGTCTTCATCTTTTAAATATCAGGTGATGCTAGAATGATCAAGCAGTCTGTAGTAAAACAGAGATTTTTGCCTTCCCCGTGGAATGCAGAATATTGTTAATTTCTGATATTCTCTTTATGGCTCTTGGTTCAAAAAGATTTAGCTATACAGATAACTAAGTTGTTCACCTTTAATTTGATAGACATTTACTAAACACTTAAATGTGCCAAAGAATGAACAGTCTAGTGGAAATGAATGATATATTCCTTCT